ATTTTCTGTTGATTTTATGAAAACCTTTGGGTATGTAAAGCAACTAGTTTGTTACATTTCTAATAATAGTGACCTTTTCTTAGTACTTCTCTTTTTTTTTAGAAAAATATATTCTTTTGTGTAAATTTCTTTGTGTAAAACAACCCTTAAACTTTTTTTGGGGTGTTTTTTGGTATAAAACTTTTTTTCTGCTTTGTTAACAAAAACCAAATGTTTGCTGAATAAACAGACAATAAAAATTTTTGTTTAAAAAACAAGATAATATCCTATTGAAGCTCCCTAAACCTTTCTCAAAATATTTTCATTAAACCCTTTAAGGCTTTAAGAGTAAAATTGCAGCAGTTTTTTGTAAACGAACTTACAAAATTTTAAAGCATTAATTTTTACAAAAATCTTACAAACAAAACTTTAGCAATTTTTTATGACAGTCATAAATTATAACAAATAACAAGGTATGTCAGACAAACATTAACAAGAGTTTAGGAGATTCTTAAATAACTTGTGAAAGAAGTTAAAAACAGTTTAAATTCAAAATTATCTGTCTCTTTAGCTTTTAACAACTTAGCAACAGTAAGAAAAGAAGAACATCTTGAACAGGAAATTGGTTTGCAAAACAAAATTATTTTGACCAACAAAAAAAAAAAAAGAAAAAAAAAAACGAAGAACAGAATGAGTAGAAATTTATGAAAAGAATTTATGGAAGAGCAATGTACGACTTTATGACAAGCTATAGCAATGACTTTGAAAAGGTGGATTTTTTAATTTATAATGTCAATTTATTAAAGACAAACCAATTTTCCGAATTTGATCTTAAAAGGGAGTTGGAGTAAATATGGTTCCAACCTCTTAAAAGTTAAATAAAAGTGATTTTTAGATTTTGTAGTTAGTTAGGGACCATATATGTATCAAAGTTTAGATAAACAAAGAATAGATATTGTTAAAGCCCTGAAACATTGGGACTTATTATATTTGTGTTGCCTACATTAGGGTAAACACTTAATACCGCCCCCTTTTCTATAGGGAAACAGCAAATAAACCAAAATGTCCGTTAATAATTTGCTATTGTTGTTATATTTAGAGAATTTTGCAAAAAATGGTATGTTGTGTGCTTGAGGGTCAAAACGGAGTTAACGTTATACTTTTTATATACCTATAGGCAAGGGAAGTTTAGAATTTCTAGAGAAATTTAATACAAAGAAACATGATTTGATCAATTCCTACTTATTAGTTGCTAAAACTGGTAACAAAAGTGTCCTTAAAAAAAGCTATAGAGAGTTCAGCGAACATATTGCTGGAAGACTTAATCCAAACTTTTATCTGGAAGACTTAATCCAAACTTCGAACATGTCCGATAGCATGTCAGATATATAATGTGGTGGGAACTATGATTATAGTTAAGCGCAGCATTAAAGCAAATACCCTACCCCTTGCTACAAAGATTAGGACGATATCAGGTGTTAAGTTTAAATCTCATAATCCTAATAGGTAATAAAATTATGTTGTGTAAACTTTACATATACTTTTCCACAAGCACTAATTCCTACTATAATTTTCTAAAGAATTTCCATTCTATTAAAATTCAAGTTGGCAATCTTGTTCTTTTTTCTTTTTATTTCTTTTTTCCTCTATTTAGTTCATTTTTATGCTGATTTTATAGATTTTCGTTTTGTTAATACTGTATTAATGTAGGTCTACTTTCAATAAGCAACAATAACAAACTCAAAACAATTTCCTCTTTAATAAATTGTTGCTATAGTAAATATGGTTAACTAAGGTTTTTGCTGTAATGAAATTTTTATGGGTTTTTAGTTAAATTTAATTTGTTTATCTTGTTATAGTTAAAGGTTTTATTAAAATAACATTTTTAACAAAATAACACTTTAAAATTAAATATAAAATAAATCGAAACACTTTTTTCAAAATAAATTGTCTGAACAGCAAATAAACTGCACTCAAAACAAAAAGCAAAAAAAAAAACAATAACAAAAAGCCAGCTTTTATGCTCAACTACAGCAACAACAACAAAGAACAGCAGAAGTAGCAGCAAAATATGTAAATACAGCAAAAATACTATAACCAACTTCCAATTATTATAATTTGTGTCGTCTCACTCTGGCTGACGAGTCTGGGACATTAGGTGAGTTGGTAAAAAGAGTGAGTGATGTTCTGTTGTCTCTATGTTGTTTATGTTGCTGCTCATGCAGTTTTTGTACAGAGCAGACATGGGAATTTGTAATAGTATTAATTTACACCACAAAAAAGGGTACTGTAATAGATTAGACTATATAGTACTACTACAGAATAGACTCCAGACTAAACTAAACGATAGACAAGACTATAGACTATACAATCGATTAGACTATAGATTGGAATATAGACTAGACTATAAATTACCCTATAGATTAGACTATAAACTTTCCTATAGATTAGACTATATAATAGACTATAGACTAGACTATAGATTAGACTATAGACTATACTATAGACTAGACTATAGATTCGACTATAGACTAGACTATAGATTAGACTATAGACTAGATATAGATTAGACTATAGATTAGGCTTAAGACTAGACAACAGACAAGACTATAGACTAGACTATAGACTAGAATATAGACTAGACTATAGACTAGACTATAGATTAGACTATAGACTAGACTGTAGATTAGACTAAAGACTAGACACTAGACAAGACTATAGACTAGACTATAGACTATATAATATACTATATAATAGACTATAGATTAGAATATAGACTAGACTAGACTATAGACTAAACTATAGACTAGACTATAGATATAGACTAGACTATAGATATAGACTAGACTATAGTCTAGACTAGACTATAGACTAGACTAGGCTATAGACTAGACTATAGACTAGACTATAGACTAGACTATAGACTAGACTATAGACTAGACTATAGACTAGACTAGACTAGACTAGACTATAGACTAGACTATAGACTAGACTATAGACTAGACTATAGACTAGACTATAGACTAGACTATAGACTAGACTATAGACTAGACTATAGACTAGACTATAGACTAGACTATAGACTAGACTATAGACTAGACTATAGACTAGACTATAGACTAGACTATAGACTAGACTATAGACTAGACTATAGACTAGACTATACACTAGACTATAGACTAGACTATAGACTAGACTATAGACTAGACTATAGACTAGACTATAGACTAGACTATAGACTAGACTATAGATTAGACTATAGACTAGACTATAGACTAGACTATAGACTAGACTATAGATTAGACTATAGACTAGACTATAGACTAGACTATAGACTAGACTATAGACTAGACTATAGACTAGACTATAGACTAGACTATAGACTAGTCGCTAGACGAGACTATAGACTAGTCGCTAGACTAGACTATAGACTAGTCGCTAGACTAGACTATAGACTACACTATAGACTAGACTATAGACTAGACTATAGACTAGACTATAGACTAGACTATAGACTAGACTAAAGACTACACTATAGACTAGACTATAGACTAGACTATAGACTAGACTATAGACTGGACTATAGACTAGACTATAGACTAGACTATAGACTGGACTATAGACTAAACTATAGGCTAGACTATAGACTAGACTGTAGACTAGACTATAGACTAGACTATAGACTACACTATAGACTACACTATAGACTAGACTATAGACTAGACTATAGACTAGACTATAGACTAGACTATAGACTAGACTATAGACTAGACTATAGACTAGACTATAGACTAGACTATAGACTAGACTATAGACTAGACTATAGACTAGACTATAGACTAGACTATAGACTAGACTATAGACTAGACTATAGACTAGACTATAGACTAGACTATAGACTAGACTATAGACTAGACTATAGACTAGACTATAGACTAGACTATAGACTAGACTATAGACTAGACTATAGACTAGACTATAGACTAGACTATAGACTAGACTATAGACTAGACTATAGACTAGACTATAGACTAGACTATAGACTAGACTATAGACTAGACTATAGACTAGACTATAGACTAGACTATAGACTAGACTATAGACTAGACTATAGACTAGACTATAGACTAGACTATAGACTAGACTATAGACTAGACTATAGACTAGACTATAGACTAGACTATAGACTAGACTATAGACTAGACTATAGACTAGACTATAGACTACACTATAGACTACACTATAGACTAGACTATAGACTAGACTTTAGACTAGACATAGACTAGACTATAGACTAGACTATAGACTAGACTATAGACTACACTATAGACTAGACTATAGACTAGACTATAGACTAGACTATAGACTAAACTATAGACTAGACTATAGACTAGACTATAGACTAGACTATAGACTAGACTATAGACTAGACTATAGACTAGACTATAGACTAGACTATAGACTAGACTATAGACTAGACTATAGACTAGACTAGACTATAGACTAGACTATAGACCAGACTATAGACTAGACAATAGACTAGACTATAGACTAGACTATAGACTAGACTATAGACTAGACTATAGACTAGACTATAGACTAGACTATAGACTAGACTATAGACTAGACTATAGACTAGACTATAGACTAGACTATAGACTAGACTATAGACTAGACTATATTCTAGACTATAGACTAGATTATAGACTAGACTATAGAATAGACTATATACTAGACTATAGACTAGACTATAGACTAAACTGTAGACTAAACAATAGACTTGACTATAGACTTGACTATAGACTAGACTATAGACTAGACTATAGACTAGACTATAGACTAGACTATAGACTAGACTATAGACTAGACTATAGACTAGACTATAGACTAGACTATACTATACTATAGACTAAACTATAGACTAGACTATAGACTACACTATAGACTATACTATAGACTAAACTATAGACTAGACTATAGATTAGACTATAGGCAGAACTAGTGAAAATTATTGAAAATGTTTTGGGATATCGCGCTGCATTTCGATATCAAAAAAGTACTAAAATACTGGATGTTCCATGCCTGTTGGAAGAGAGTAATGGGGGAAAAATGAAATGTGTGTACAACAACAATATCCCAAGTCTACATAAAATGTAATGTATAGAAAATGTTGTTGTTAATGCTGCTGCTGCTGCGACTGCTAATATGTTGTTTTTGTTGTTGTTTTACATACAAACCAACAAAAATCTTGGATGAAAACTGAAGTTTTTAGTTATGCTGAAGAGCTCTGGCTATTTAAACACGTTTTAAAAAGTTTTTGTTGTTGCTTTGTAAAAAAATATAAAAAAATAATAAAAAATGTATATTAAATAAAATTTTATGTAAAAAATAATAATAAATCTTTTTAACACTTTATTAAGTTGCTAATTGTGTTATTAATATTAGAAAAGATTTTACTTTTATTAAACAAAAAGAAAAAAAAACTCGCTAACGCGTTTCGTATCGAAAGTTCGATAAAGTTTGTTTTAATCATAAATATATAAAATATTAAGTGATTAACAGTTAAAAGTATTTTTTACCTATAGGTTACAGAAAAAAATATTTAAAAAGTTTTAAAGTTTAAAAAATTTGTAGAAAATTCGCTGTTAAAAGTTATTAAACAAAATTTATTAACAATTATTTTTTTTTCCTGAAAAAAAAATTGTATATTCATTAGCAGCCATTGCTGTATTTTATTAAAATCTCTCACTCCATGTGTAGCAATTTTTTAACAGATTCTTCTTCTCTTTTTGCTGTAACAGTTGCTTTAAACTGTTAATGTTATTAACAGTTTAACAGAAATGCTAAGTTTTCCTTAGTTATTTTAGTTATAACTTAATGTTAATGTTTTAACATTATGTTGTTATGTGTTTTTAACATTTTAAAAGCTATTGCTGTTAATTTTACACATAAACAGAAAACTTTTATTAACATGTAAGCTATTTAATGTTTATGGCTGAATGTTAAAGAAACCCCCTTGAACTAAATGAAACTGTTATACTCAAACCCTGTATCGCTCTCACACTCTCTGTTAATTTTTCTGGTTGTTTCTTATAAGAAAAATCACAGAAATTTTTGCACACATTTTTTTTTTTTTTGAAAAGAAAAATGTTTAAAATTTATTAAGAATCCAAAATTTAAAGAAAGAAATCAAGTGTTTAAAAAAATATTAAAAAAATATAAAGTAAATATTTAAAAAGGTTTAAGTAAACTAAAGTAATCATAAGTGTTAAAATTTAAAAATTTCAACCTTTTCAATTTATTACTAAAAATAATTCTTTATAATCTGAAAATTTTTTACTTTTTATAAAATTTTATAAAAAATTTAAATATTTTTTTTATATATAATTCTACACAATCTAGAATAAGTTGTCCTTGTCAAAAAAAACTATATTATTGTGTATGTATCTCTGAGGATTTAATTTTGGTTATCGATTTCAGCTCCCAGATTTTCTAGGTATCTAATAATGTTATCGATAACATTTTTGGGCAGCGTTATAAATTTTCTTTATAATATATTACTGCTACAAATATAATAAATTCAAAATCTTTTCAAGTTACTTTAAAACACTTCAAATCGGTAGCCACGCCCTAAAAAAAGGTGGGCGAAAATTATAAGAAAAAGTGTTTCCTTATATTATTGCTTCTTTAACCAAAATGTAGCTGAAATCCGAATTAGAAATTCTAAAGATAATTATTTATGGTTCCATAAATCCGCTAAATAGTTATACTCCAGAACTCCAGATGTCATGGTGTCGCTACTATGAAGTGTAAATGATGTCTTTAGATCTCTTCTAATTATAATTGGGCTACAGTACCATGATCCAGGTGATTTCAGAAGACGTTAAAACTTCAAATCATAACAAGTGTTCTTAATTCAAGTGCGTGGGTTCTTAAATTCACTTTAATTCACTTAAAGCCCCCCAAGAATGGTTGCTCGGACTAATTATTGTATATGGCTAGAGGTATGTGGTCGTTGACATTAAAAATATCCCTGCTGAGAACCAAAGGATGACATTACCATCATCCAGACAGCTTTAGAAGTGAAAAACTTTCATAACAAATTATAAATTTATAATGCCAATGAATGGTTACAGATCTTCACTTAATGTACTCTAGAATGTTTGGGGTCCATGACAATATGTCTACCAGACTATAGCAATCATAAAATGTTATTGCCTTGATCCCAGTGGCTCTAGAAGCTATTAAAATGTCAACCAATGTTCTTAAATCAAGTGGGTGCTTGAATTCTCCTAAAGCTCTTTGGGCTGGAGTTCTGGGGGTCCCAGCAGTTAGTGGTATAAGACTTTAAGTCCCTATTAAGCTTACAAGGTAGCTCTTGAAGCTATTTAAAGGTCAAAAGGTTAAAACTTTAGTTAAAGTTTATAAATTGTATGAATTATTAAGTATTTATTAATTCAATTTAATGAAATTTTGAGAATATCAGACCTGGAGTCTTAAAATTTAATTTTTCATAAAATTAACCCATTAATGTACACTAGGGGTCCATATAAAGAGAGTTAACCCTATTTACTTAAGCCAAAAAGGAGTTTCATTACAAATTTTAAAGAATTTGTAAAAACTATGAAATTTTTCTTTTGAAAAAAAAAAACAGATTTTGAATTCAGTCCTTTAGAAAAGGGACCAAGACCCCATGACACTTTAATGAAATATATCACACCCTTTGTAAAACTTTAGTTTTTAGTAGAATTGTGTAATTTTTTACAAATTATTATTTAAATTGTTCCAAACATAAACTTTATTTAAGAAATTTTTAACAAAACTTTAAAACTTTTTAAATATTTAAGAACTTAAAAAAAAATAATTGGTTTTAACAAAAACTTTATTCTTTTTTAATAACAATTTGACAACATTTTCAGATTTTTATTAAAAATATTATCTAAGAGATACAAACATTTTACAATAAAAATATAACAACAAAATATTCCAAAGTTTTAATTAAAATTTACTAGAAAATTACTAGAAATTAAAAGAATTTTATTAAATTATAAAAAAAAAATCCTAAAATTTTCATAAAAAGTATAAATTTTTTAATTAACAAAACTAAGACTTAATCTAAAATTTGGAAATAAATCTCAAAATAAACGTGAGAAAATTATAATTAAAATAACCAGTTTTCAAGCTGAAAAAAAATAAAATTAATTAAAATAATTACTTGTTTAAAAACAGTAAACATTTAATAAACAAAACAGCAATTTAAAATAATAATAATAACAATAATAATAATTAAATAATTAATTTTAATTAATAACAAAGAAAATAACACATAAATTTATTAAAATTTAAAGAAAAATAAAAAAAAAAAAACAAATGAATACAAAACATTTAACTTAATTAAAAACTTAATTAAAATAAGTTTGTTCAGATTAAAGAATCAATCAATTTTTTTAGATTTAAACAGAAAAGAGTCTTATATTTTACTTCCACAAAACATATTCTTATAAGAAATATAAACATATCACTAAAAATTTACAACAAATTTGAAAAAGAAATTCCAATTAAACTAAAACACTTGGCTTAATTTATTATTCCATCTGCTAACAGCAAGTTGTTTCTTTAAGTGTAAACACACCAAAAGAACGTAAGAAACAAAAATAAACAAAAATACTCAAGCAGCCCTACATTGTGCATAAAATACATAAATTATTTAACAAACTAATCAAAACAAACTCAAGCAAAACAATAAAAACAAGAGAAAAACAAAATAAAAAACACAACTACAACTTGTCTTATTAAAATATACATTACAACAAAAACCATAGAGTGAAAAAAACCAAAACAACAGCAACATCTATTTAGCAAAACACGACAGTAGAAGGCAGAAAAAAAACAACTTGACACGACCTCCCCAAAGTTTTTCTTAATTGTGAGAGAGTAAGTGTTTAAAGAAGAAAAAAAGTTTGTGTACACACGAATCTAGTTATTTCTGTGCCGAACAGCCCCTGTCGTTTTTCCAACAACAAACCAAAACAAATCTTCTTCTAGCTAAAAAAAACTGTTTTTGTTTTTGTGTTTTCTTTTTTGAAAACACTCAGCAAAATAAAAAAATCAAAACAACAACTAAAAATTACTTTTAACTTCAAGTGTCATTTTGAAGGTGTCAGAAAAACTCTGGCAAAACCTTTATTGAAGTGTTTTACTGTGCCACCTGCCTGCCACCACCGGCTTTAAATAGAGTTTTATAAAACTCTAGACGTAAAAATTTTTGTCAAATTGTTTGATAATAAAATTAGCAAAATTTTGCTCTTTACATTAAGCATGAAAACTGAAAGTACTACGACGCAGCCACCAAATACTTCGCCGGCTAAAATGGCATTTGATATGTATCCGAGTATATCGTCGGGTAAACAACAGGATCCAGTGCGTGAAGTTGTTATGAAATATATTGATTATTTTTTGCCAGAGTAAGTAAAGTTTTTTGGTATTTTAAGGTTAAATTTAGGTTAATTACTTTTATGTTTAAGACGTTTATTAAAGAAATTTGATGGGAAGAAGAGAAGAAGTGTGTTCGAAATTGAACTGAAATGTTTTAAATCAAACTCCGGTATGTTTGTGTAAAGTGTTTAAGTTTGTCAAACCAGAGTTTGTGACTTCGATTCGCAGCAGAGACACCGCTAAAAGAGTGTACAATAGACCCCTTGAAGCCCTAGATGTATTTCTTCGGATTTGATAAGACATACATACTCATTTCAAACTAACTTCAAATCAAACTAGTCTAGTCTATAGTCTAGTCTATAGTTTAGTCTATAGTCTAGTCTATAGTCTAGTCTATAGTCTAGTCTATAGTTTAGTCTATAGTCTAGTCTATAGTCTAGTCTATAATCTAGTCTATAGTCTAGTCTATAGTCTAGTCTATAATCTAGTCTATAGTCTAGTCTATAGTCTAGTCTATAATGTAGTCTATAGTCTAGTCTATAGTCTAGTCTATAGCTTAGCCTATAGTCTAGTCTATAGCTTAGTCTATAGTCTAGTCTATAGCTTAGTCTATAGTCTAGTCTATAGTCTAGTCTATAGTCTAGTCTATAGTCTAGTCTAGTCTATAGTCTAGTCTATAGTCTAGTCTATAGTCTAGTCTATAGTCTAGTCTATAGTCTAGTCTATGTTAAGGCCTTAAGAGGACCGTTAGGAGAATATTTGTCAGTTGGAGAAGATGCAACTTATGTATACAAGACATGTTTGGGTTTTGCAACAGTAATTCTTTGATCATTAAATATCCTCAAAGAAGATAATGTATCCAAGTCATGAAATCCCTCCATTGCATCCTTGAAACGTTGAAGTAAATTACTTCTATGGAACTCCACACCAAAACCACTTAATCCCTTTTTGATTGGTACTATTTCCTTAAACTTTTTAAAGTGGGCTCAAGATCGACTGTCAAGATCGAATTCCTTCAGAATCAAGTACATAATACAAATAATAATGTGATCATTTCAAAGTGAATATCAAATGTTGAAAATAGTTAAAATGTACTAAAGAAAACTAATTGGTTCATGTATTTTCGCAACCAGATCTCAGGTAATAGTTATTAATTGATAGCAATTCCTAGAGGGAAATGAGATTTCTTTTAATGCTAGAGTTCTTTTAGCAAGCAAAACTCGGGAGATTCTCCGCATTTGTTACCAGATCCTATAGACAAATGAGTTTTCACAAGAAATAAATGTTTCTGCCTCTGAGATTTTGAAAATATAACTTAAAACTAGAACTGCTTTCTCCAAAATCTCCTCCAAAGAAAACTACTTGGGAACTGCATATTTTTTCGGTAATGGTAAATGAGATTTCCTTTAATGCAACAGTTCTTTTCGCAAGCAAAACTCTTCCAATTTGATACGAGATCCTATAGACAGATGAGATTTTCAAGGAAATTAATTTTGGCTATTTATCCACCATAACCTTCTGATTCAGTATTCCTCGGTACTGTAGTTACAACAATATGTGTACTACTTGCCTGACATGTACTACTCTTATTCCCGATGAAATAACTTGTAGTACAAGGTTAATCTGGACTTTTAATTTGATCTTTCCAGTTGGATGGAATTTGGATTATTATCTCAAATATGAAAGCTCCTTGTAACCGCTACAAAGCAAAGTTATTTTGATGCTTGCAAGAACAATAAGCTTATAGAGGTCTGAGATCCCTTAGAACTAAACCTTTCTGGAGGCCACGGTTGACACTTCTTCTATCCAATTGCACTTTTCCATCATAATGATGCATTAATCTGCTGGCTTTATTCCCAGAATAGGTGCGGTGGACTTAAGTAACAAATTCTTTGACTTTGTCCTAGTATTCTACTGCCCCCGAAGTCCTAGAGGTCAAGATTTATTAAAGTTTAGTTACAACATTTAATAAGTCTCTTGTAAACAATCTAGTATTTATAAATGGAAGATGTAATTCTCACATTTCTCAGTCGTTGAAGAAACCTTACTGGAGGCTACCATTCGACAAAGAGTCAATGCATGCGAAAAAGACAGTGATTTCCACTAACGTCTAACCAACTGGTTGGCTCTAATTCGTATTTCGTCATGGATACTCTTGATGTACTCTTTGTATACGAGGGTGAAGATAATCATCACTTTAGTGTCTCCTTGGAAAGCGAGAGAGTGAACTTTTAAAAAACAAATCTAAGCTTTTCGTCTGCCTCTTCTTAATCGACGACCGACTTCTTCATAGGGCAAGCGCATGTTAAAATAGTCAATTGGGCAGTCTGTCCCTAAGTGTAGGTTAAATAGGTAGTTCAGGACTTAAACTTTTTGTCTTCTCTTCGTAATATATGCAGTGACGTCTGACTTCCTCGTAAGGCAAGCAAATGTTAAAATAGCTAGTCACCTGGGTAGTCGGTGGCTAGGGTTAACTCTAAGTGACAGATTAATTTTGTATTTCGGGACTGTCCGACCGAAATGCTGAGACATTGCGCTATTCTATTATAATATTGAAACAATCTATTGCTTCTATTTATAGAGGCGTATCCTGAAATCCAACTATTGCGCGACTACTCTGTTACCGATTTTTCCGCTACCACTCCATTGCCCTAGGTTAACTTTAATAACAAATTCTATAGGATTTTATCCGATATTAAACAACCCCCAAAGTTCTAGGAGTCGCGAGACTTCATATTTGGTTTCAAGAGATAAAACTGTTTCTGAATTGCATACATGTCCAGTTTCAATAGTTTGTAAGTCCAATTCTGAAACTTATTGCAAAGAAAGAATCAAGGATATTCAGATGCATGAATAAATAAACTTGAAATAATCTATTAAATCCAAAATATCAAACATAGAGTTCATCTAAATGATTCGAAGGGCTAAACAGCTAAAGGTTTGACTTCTAAGGAAATGAAGATTAAAAAAATGGAGATTTGAAATTTGGGAGTCCAATGCCAATTTCCAATTAAATTTGTCGAATGTCTGGGTTCAAAATGGTAATGGCTTCTAACAGGGAATTGTTCAAAAGCTTCCAAACAGACCCACTTTCAATTGCTAAAAAATTGTCTTGGAGCAGAAACTGTTAAGGGAGAAGTTGCGAACGTCAATGTAACTGTTTCAACAACTTCCAATTTGTTGAATAAAAGTGAAGAGAGTTGAAAGTTTGGGAAATGATTCCTGAGTTCGGATTCATTCTTATTGCAAGAGAAAGCTAGAGTGGAAAATTTTAAATTTATTCAACAAACTTTCAACATTTCAATTCCAAACTCTTAGTGATCAAACGTTTATGGAGAAAACTCTATGCAAATTAAGCCAAAACTCCAGAATGATAATTTATGACGTGATCACAGTTGAACCAGTGATATAACTGGAAATTCTAAATTATTCTTACAAGCTTTTCACAGTTTTTCTCAATTCAACTGGAAACAAATATTTTGTTATTTTTTTATATTTGTAGCAATTAGCACATATTATTGAAGCGCTAACAAAATTTAAAAATAACCAAGTTAACGTTAATGAATACCAATATTAATCATTCATTTAGAGGAATTATACAAAAAAAGAAACAACAGTAAAACAACAAAAGTTAACATTAATTAGAAATTGATAAAAGTTTAAAGAGTGTCAACGAAAAAAAAAAAATTAAATTTTTAAAAGAGAAGTTAATTTCACAAGCCTTAACTAATGACAAATGGAAGTCTTTAAAAATTTACCTCAATCACTCATCGTTCAATTTCTGAGGGGTATCCACTTTAATTTGTGAGAAAAAAAGCAAAAATAACAAAACTATTTTTAAAACTCCTCAATAATTTTTCACAATTTTGTGCTAAAAATAAAAATTGTAAATGAAATGTATAAATAATAATGACATGACTAAGCATACATACGTACATACAAACATCCTGAAATGTTAGTGTTACATCATGACAACAAGGAATTGGGTGAATGTGAACAGTAATCATGTGTTTCAGACTAACTAACGTTTAAAAATCCGGTCATTATGAATTTTAAACATTTTAGCTCTTAACTAGACTTAAGATGACCTGGATTTTCTTTAATGCAACGTTTGAATTTGTCGAAAAAAAAAACAATTCAAAATTCATACATATTCATATGGAATGGTTGGGGTTTTTAAGGCACATGCCAGTCGTCAGTTTTGTTGAAAAATGGCTTAATGGCAAAACTGGTGGTTAATAAGAACGTGTATGTATGTCAGAGATACAAGCCGGTGCTAAATTATCGTCGGCGGCGGTGCAATCATTTTAGGCCAGCCGCCGCCGATTTGAGCCGTCTCGGCTTGTATCTCTGATGTGCGATTCCAATCTTTATCAGTGGCTACGTTTAAGAAGTCGGCGGCGGCGGCTTATTATAGAAAATATCGACGACGGCTGAATTGTCGGCTCAATTTAACTGTTTCTTCAGAAATTGATCTTATAAGCGTTTATTAAATTGAAAAATCTCTGTATGATATTCTGTTATATAGAAACCTGTCTCTATCAGAGATACAAGCCGAGACGGCTCAAATCGGCGGCGGCTGGCCGCCGGTAA